GGGGGGGGAGTGTCAAGACCTGTGTCAATGCACTGGAGAGGGAACCAGATTTTTGTCGGATCATGAGAAGGGTTTGGAGTTTGATATGTTGAGAGAGAGTGCGTCTGTGCAGTGGTGGCAAGTGTGGAAGTGCTCATTAATGATGCAACAGCAAGTGCAGAAGGGTGTGCAGTGTGTCAAATGTCACTTGTGAGGGCCTTAAAATCCATCTAGTTGCTTGCTGTTATTGAGTGTTCATGCTGTTGATTCTGTTCTGGTTAGCAGTTACTAAATATAAAGGAAGTAGTTTATTGAGAAATGTTTCTGATTGACTGTATTAAGATTTTTTTTGTTTTTGTGGCTTAAACCCGTGTGTTTTGATCAAGTGTATCTTGAGTAATCCTTAGACAAATGCTATTGGGTGATCTTATTCATAATGATCCACATGGTTATACTTTCCATTCTTAATACAGCCGCCATTAAGAATCTACGTGATGGTACCAGGAGTCCCCGGAGTGTTTCAGAGGCGACACTGAAGAGAACCTATGAAGCCATGGAAGGAAATATAAAGCAGAACCTTTCTGTCAGAGAGTCTGCTGTGTCGGCACCAATGGAAGGTAACTTCTGCCCTGTAAACTACACTGTTTGCATTTGTCTTCCAAACAAAAAATCACCACTTTTGGAAGTTACCAGCTTTCCACATTAGGTACTTACTCTTTGGATTGGAAAGTATAAATCTTTTTAGTTTTCTTTAAAAGACCTGACCGTGTATGGCCAACTTTTGATTTTAGGTAGAACACTTTGCAGTCTGCTTTCTGCTCCTAGTCTGCCCTTGCAATTGGGATCTATTAGTATGGTTCACAAAAAATAAACCCTGTGGCAGCAGATGCTACTGCAGCCCAAAGATATAACGTTAAAAACATATATATATATATATATATTTTCCTCAGTTGTGTCCATATGTTAGCCTATAATGAAAAAAGATCAGGGTGAATAAGTAAATGGCCTACTTAGTAATGATCTTAAACTATTAAATAATATCTAATTCAGTTGGGCAAATTGGTTATTGTAAATTCACTTTCACTGGCATACTGGCACTGCTAAACTTGGTCTGCATCAAGGATTCATTGACCTCTTGTCATAAGGGGAACAAACTAAAATGATACATGGTTGTCATAGGTGGCCTATTCTATATTTATTCATGAAATCTTGAGCCGTTTGGATCAGTCCCGCTTCAACAAGAATGTCAATATCTAATATGAGAATGGAAATGGCTGCTTTCAACAGATCCTAATTTTTTTTAGTTTGTTTTGTTTTTTTTACTTAACAGAGACTTTGAAATATTTCAAAGGTTTTTTGCTTTATATATTAAAAATGCACAGATGAGACCCAGCTGCCACTTTAAGAGCTCCTGAACTAGAAAGATGCAGAAATGTGTGCACAAAAGATGGACTTACCGTATTTTTCGCTCCATAAAACGCACTTTTTTCCCCCCAAAAGGAGGGGGAAAAAGTGCCTGCGTCTTATGGAGCGAATCCCGACGCCCGAGACATGCAGTGCCGGGCGAGTAGTAGGAGCCACTGCTCGTTTAATACGAGTGATCTAACAAGATCACTCGTATTAAAGCCGAGCAGCGGCGACGATCGAGATACCCATAGAGCAGACGAAGAATAGACGTTCTTCGCCTGCTCTGTGTCATCACTGAGACCGTGGCGCTGTAATCACAGCGCCACCTGTCTCAGCGGTCACTAACTGCAGCTTCTGTCACAGCTTCTGTGACAGAAGCTACAGTCTCGAGTGCTCCATAAGGCGCACCGGACCTCCCTGCGTCCTATGGTCCGGTGCGTCTTATGGACCGCAAAATACGATAATATGTATTGATTTTTTTTTTTCTTTGTGTTCTCAGGGCTGATCTGTCGTACACTACCCAAAGGCACGGAGAGGCAGGTTCTTACTGGCTCAATAATGCAAGGTGAAAATTCCAGATCTTGACAAGCTATGCTTGAATTTTATTATTGAGCAGTTTTTTTTATTACCTGATGTTTGAGGCCTTTTTTTACCATTTGTGTGACCGCTGGTTATTTGATATCTTAAAAACGTTTTATTTTCCATCCAGGCACCCCAAGATCAGCATCTGAGAACTTTGATGATGGGCTCAAATATGCCAAGCAAATCAAACGTGAAAGCCCACCCATTAGGTCTTTTGATGGCGCCATCACAAAAGGCAAGCCTTATGATGGCGTTACCACAATTAAAGAAATGGGACGTTCCATCCATGAAATCCCCAGGCAGGACCTTATTAGTCAAGAAAGTCGGAAAACCCCAGAAATGTCCAGGAATATGTTAGAAGGGTCTATTTCCCAGGTAACTGATACTGTGTGAATTTGTGTTATCAGAGTGTGATTTTGTAAATCTGTTTTTAAATAGTATTCTCATGTGCTTCATACAGGGAACACCAATAAAGCATGAAGGTGCATCTGGTCAATCTGCCATCAAACACAATGTGAAGTCCTTGATCATGGGGCCAAGTAAGCTGTCACGTGGAATGCCACAGATGGACATGATGCCAGAGAACTTGAAGGTAGTGGATAGATCAAAATGTGAAGACTCTAAGTCATCAGATGCCATGCGATCACGTCATACATCTGTTGTGAGTTCTGGTACATCGGTGCTCAGGTCAACTCTACATGAAGCCTCCAAGTCCCAGTTGAGCCCTGGGATTTATGACGATTCCAGTGCTAGGAGAACGCCAGTAAATTATCCCAGTCCAATGTCCAGAAGTTCACCTTTAGCACGGTCATCGGAAGGTAGGTCTTTTTTAAAATCTAACAAGTTTAATATGTATTATATATTTACATATGTATTTGTATGATACAGTTGGGCCAGGGGTTCTTCAGCTATAAACCTTTTTTTGATTAAAGTTATTCTAAAATCTTACTGTTTTTTTCTAGTATATAAATGCTTCCCTTGTTCAGACACAGAACGAGGAACTAAACTGCTTATTATACTTGAGTTTCCATGGATCCAGTTGCAGTTTTTAGCTCTAGCATGGATGGGTCATCCCATTGGCTGTGTCATCATTAGCACTGGCCATGCATGAAGATGCTTACAGCATGGTAACAGCGCTCAGGTAACCCTTCCCTAGAGCCAAACTCTGCATCTAGATTAATTCGGCAGCATGGGATTGGTGGGTAAAGCAGATTTATTTGCTGGTCCTATGTATTTTATCATCTGTAAATATAAACCGCTGTTTTGTTTTTTTGTGTGCTTGTAGGTGGCCTCACACCAGGGAAGTCTTCCAGCCATGAAAGAAAAAGCACATTAACGCCAACACAAAGGGAGAATATTGTTGTGAAGTCCCCAGTCCCTGGTGTAGACCAGACTGGGTCTCACAGTCCCTTTGATCCTCATCATCGGGGTGGCAATCCTGGAGAGGTCTACAGAGGACATCTGCCACCTCACCTTGATCCTATGCAGTTTCACCGAGCTTTGGACCCTGGTACGTAATTTTAAGGGTACATGTTGATGTATAAGGTTCTCAAATAAATAATGAGAAATCATGCTAGTGTAGCGAATGGAGTTCTATGGAATATGTTAGCTATGTTTACGAATACCTTGTCTTTCTATGGAATATTGTCTCTTCCTACTCATGACTAGGTTTCTGTGGTTTTTTAATGTTTTGTTTGGTTGATGTCTAAAACAAGACTTAAGGTAAACTGCCAAGCAGGAAAATGTTTTTATTGCAGGAGATACATACTATAAAGGACATACAATAAAGGATTCTTACCTTCCTCATCACAAATTCCCTTCACTCTACTCTAAGCTGCGCATGCAGGAGGATTGAACACTAGCAAATGAAAAACTGCACGCTAGCCCATGTTATAACCCCTCCCACTACCAGCATGCCTCAGTTTTTTGCTAGCTTCCTAGCAGGGTTGAGGACTTTTTTTAGTTCTGCTGTTTTAAAGACCAGCATAAATTTTCTAGCAACTTTTTTTTCTTTTTTAACCAAGACCATCTCTACACTTCTACTGGTGCTCTTCACCGACTCACAGCTATGTGATGTGGATGTCCTCATCTTGGCGTTTGGACCATACTACATCTGGCCCTGCAGGGTGAGCCTGGACATGGAACACTCAGGCACTGCGTTCTCCGTGAGCACTTTCCAGACAGGTTCTGGTTCTGCTCCAAGTGTGTTTTACCCTAACTGCCACAAAACCGAAAGGGGCGGACAGTTTGGATATGCTGTCCCAAGGACCGATTTTCCACCCTGCTTCTTGGTTGCAGGATTTAACTCCATGGCTGTTAAAACCCAGGTACTAAGGGACAGTGAGCCTGTTATTCATACAGTGTTCCACAAAGTCTACCATTGGACATGGAAGGCATACTTTGTATGGTGGGAGCTTAAAAAGGCTTTCACCCAAGGAGTGTCTCATGTTCAGGTCCTCTATTTTCTAGCGTTGGAATTGGACTAACGTTTGGCCTAACACTGGCCCCCAAGGGCCAGCTATAGCTGTTCTTTTTATTCTTTTTTTTTTTTTTTTTACACATTTTCCTTCCCATTCTGGTAGGGAGAGGAATAATACTGCCTTTTATAGTTTGCCAAGGTCTAATATTCCTGTAGGCAGCAGTGTAAACCAAAGGTTTAAGATTTAGATGTCCTTTCATTATTATTGACCTTCATTTTCTATTTAGGACAAAAATACATTATATACCGTGTTTAAAAAAAAAAAAAAGGGACAAATGTATTTTTAATACTGTAATTATATGTGACATTTCCAGTATTAAACAGAGGTACACTCTTCAGGCTGCAGTGGAATGTGCAAGATCAGAGGTTTGTTGCTAAAACCACCACCAGCCTGCATATGATCACATGATTGGGAACCACACTGACAGAGGATTAGGAACGTGAATGACTGTACATTTCTAATTCTTAGCTGGAATCCTTAAGTTCTCAAGGCATGGGGGACCCATGGTTTTGTTTGGTTCAAATGAGTTTTGCATTCCCATACAAGTCTATGGGAATGCAAAATCTCCTTGAAGGAGGTCAAATGCACCTGTCAATGAATTTTGAATGCTCTCAGTAGCATTTAAAACTGATATCAGAACCGGCCGTAATATTCAAACTACAGATATGGAACTGCAGACTTTCCACTATAATGTGTGTTCTAAAGGAGACTGATAAAATGGCAAAGAACTAAAGTGAGTTTAAATTCACACTGAATATGAATCAATGGGATATATTTCAATATTACGAAAGCACGATATTTCTTAAATTTTTATTCTGAATTAAAAATGTCATGCTGTTCTCAATTTCACAGTCTAGATCACATGGTTTTTCGCTACCAATCATTAGAGAATAAAGATTTGTGGGTTTTTTTATTAGAAAAATTAGAAATGATCTGGATCACATGGTAGTCCGTGAAGTTAATTTTCAAATGTCCTTGCTGTTCCTAGTTCTCTGGACTATTTTTATGTTGTATTATGTCCTTGCAGATACCAAATTCTGTTGCATGCAATCTTTTGAATTCCCACCCTTCCTACTGTCACATATGTAGAGGGTTCTCTATTCAGGGGTTTACTAATGAAATGCTATGTGGCGTGTACTCCATCTCTTGTGCGAGTGAAAGCTTGTCTACCCCAACCAGATTTTAAGTGCCACATGTTATAAGCAGCACCTCATTTCTCCTGACTTTTACAAAACACTCATGTATCAGATCCATTGGTGTGTGTTGCAATTTAAAAAAAATGGTAAATGCATTCATTATCTTGGAGCTAGGGATAACCTTTCATTTTCTTTTATCTGCAGCAGCCTACTTGTTTCAAAGGCAGCTTTCCCCAACACCAGGTTATCCAAGTCAGTACCAGCTCTATGCCATGGAGAACACACGACAAACCATTTTAAATGACTACATCACCTCCCAGCAGATGCAGGTTAATTTAAGGCCGGATGTTGCCAGAGGGCTTTCTCCTAGGGAACAAGGGTTAGCAATGCCCTATACTGGAGCACGAGGTTAGTCCAGGATTGTCCTTTGTTATAATTGACTTTCTTCCTTCTACCCATTGTGGAGTTTTATTTTATGTAAATGTTCAATTTGCTCAATGTTTTGGAAGATACATTCTGTGATGCTGTTTCTTTACTTTTGACTTCAATAATATAAGAATATGTTCTTTAAACAGGTATAATAGACTTAAATAATATGCCACCTACTATCCTGGTCCCTCATCCTGGAGGAACAAGCACTCCGCCGATGGAGAGAATTACATATATGCCAGGGGCCCAGCTTGCTTTCCCTACTAGGCAATACAATCCTTCTTCTTTGTCTCCAGGTTTGTCACTTTTTTCCTTTGTTCCAAATTCCTAAGAATTTATTTTTTTATTTTAATTCCAGCAGTGAACCCCTTGCAAACCATGGGCTGCAGGGGTTAACTGCTCGTTATGTCTAGCTGTAATATTTGCCTTATTCCATGTTCTTGTAAAAGATGATTACCAACACTCAGCTAGTAGCATTTAATCCTTGTGCTCATTTATTGGAGTGAAAATGTCACTCCAATAAATTATCAAAAGCCAACGTTCGGGGGTCACACAGGGTCCCTTCATCAGGACAACATTCCTTGTTCTGGGGCTCACCTCTTCTCTCAGACACACTCGGTTATGTGCAGGCCCATTCTTGGTCACGAATTGTATGCGATAAAGTTCTCCTAAGGGTAGTTCTCTAGCGTCCTCCAGTCACCCAAAGCTCAGTATACCGCGAGCTGCAGCTGCCGGTATACTGAGACGCCGCAGCTGAAATGGATCCCGACAATTATGTCTGGATCCACCCAGCTGCATGAGTGACAGCTGGCTCTGCCTATCTAGAGGCAGAGCCAGCCGTACCTGCCCCGTCCGTTCCGCCAGTCAGCGCTGGAGGATCGGACAGGGGAGGGGGGACAGGATCAAGAAGTGAGCGAGCGCCGGTATGTGTTCGCTCACTTCCCGATTTACTGAGCCGACCTGTGACAGTCTCATTGTCACAGGTCGGCTAGAACTATGAGGATAAGTGAAAATCACTCGCCTCATAGTTCTCCTCTTAAGACTTGTTTACTTCTGCTTCTAAACTCTGTATCTTTTGTGTCTTGTATTATATTCAAATAATATACGGCTTTCTCTGAATGGACAAGGTGAGAGTCAATCCAGCATGAATACAACTAAAACGTTTAGCATCCCCAACAGCCTTCGTGGTATACGAAGCATTAGAGGTAACTAAGCTGGTCCAAGTAATAGTTTAAAAAAAAAAATATATATATTGTTCCCTTGTTTTCCACTTTATTTTGGGGTTTGAGACTTTAAGGTCATGTGTACAGCCTGGGACCGGAATCCAAAGTGCAGCACGGATCAATTTGCAGGCCAGCACTTGTAGGCACTACAAGGTGTGTTGCAGTTTACCATAGGTTCTAATTATGCCTGTCAGCTTAATTTTAAAGGAATGTTCTACCGTCCGCTTGCAGAGAGCCATTATAGAATGGGGTTGCTTTGCTCTAAAGGGGACCACACAACTATAAGCACTTCAGAACACTAATTTTACACAACCCTAGAAGAGCTGATTGGGAAGGGTTGAGCTGGATGACGTATGAAATTTGGCTTGATACCAGTCTTTGACCCCCCTTTCTTCCCCCCCCCTCTACCTATATAGAGTATAGAGGCCAGCTGTGTGTCTCCATTCAGTACGACATTCCTAACACCCGTGTGTTTTTTATAGGTCACCCAGCACACCTAACTTCTGTGTCATCTGCCAATGTTGAAAGAGAGAGAGAACGAGAGAGGGAACGTGAACGAGAAAAAGAACATCGTGACCGAGAACGGGAGCGAGAGAGGGAGCGAGAGAGAATAGTTGCAGTCAACGCCCAGAATGAACATTATCTGCGGACAGGTGAGTACCACTGCTCTATAACAGAACACTGCTTGCATGGATGTTCCATAACACTGGTCTGCATCTATGGTGTTCTGAAACGGCATGTAACCTGAATCTCTGAAGAAACATTGTGAGCTGCTATTTTTATATAATAAAGTAATTTCTATATATTATATTCAGATCATTATTAGTGTGAAACACACATCCAGATAGACTCGGAGAACCACTATTGCCTCACCGTAGTAAAAATTGTTATTTATTACAGAGATGGCCAGACTTTGCACTTCTCTGCCAGAGTTCCATGAAGGAAAAGGGAGATGGATTAATCTGCCCTTAGTGAAAATGGCCACCAAGAGCCGGCAGTTATCCAGAAGTATAAATTTGTAGATTGTCAATACTAAATATGTCTAAAGGTGTCTTTGTTGTTATTTTGAAGATCTGGGTAAAGGTCCACTTTAACTGAGGGCAGGTTTAGATCACCCTTAACATCCTGAAACTCTGACACATGTGACTAGGACATGTGACCAGGTACATCATCTCAGGGGAGGAAAATTACTTTCCCTGAGAAAACATGAAATTACAGATGGAATTTCCCAGCAATGCTCTGCGGATGTAACCTTCCCAGGATGCAATGCTTGGGCACGATTACATCATTTGTGCCAAAGTGGACCAGGAAGTGGAAAAAAGCAAAATAAAAATGTTTACCTAATGTTTGATGCTTTTATATCGGTATGTAGAGCTGTGTGCTGATGTGATTTCTACTCAAAGGGGTAAAGGTCCACTTTCATACAATGTAAAAAGGTTACTTTGTTATTATCTACTCCTGACAACTGCCCTTAATATAATCTGCTGTTTGCATTGAACAATGCAGAAAGATCCTCTGACAGTGTTTTCTTATACATAGTGGGACTTGTGTGGGCCCAAGCAGGTACTCGCAGCTCCTTGTCCAGTGGTGTGGGGTTATTTGAAGTTGTGCAGAATGTGGCCCAAAGTTTTCAAGTGGTTAAATAACGTAAAATGGACCCATATTAGGGACAAGCTGCTTTGAGGAAGATTTTGGTTTTAGGAACAGTAATGCAACTGAGGTTTCTGAATAGCAGATAAGAATCTAACATGCTCGAGCTGCTATGGTAACAGGAACACAATCTTGTATTGTATGAAGACCCAAATATGTCCTCTGCTGCCTAATGCATCTTTGTGGTAATGCATTACCTTGAGTTCCAGCGCACACTTTTGTTTTTTCTTCTTCTGATGCACCTGTTTTTCTATGTAGTTTCGGAGCAGCCCAGCAGACCTAGCAGTCACGGATATGTACGGTCACCATCCCCATCAGTCCGTTCTCAGGAGAACATGATGCCACAGAGACCGAGCATATTACATGGAGCCAATGGAAAAAGTGTCATCACACCACTAGACCCCACACAGATGCGAATCATGTATGTATTGTTTTCCTTTTAGCTATAAAATGTTTATTTAGTTCTAAGTATATTTCTTATTTTAGAGCTGTAGCATATAACATTGTTGGCAATGTCATTTATTTTCCATTCGTTGAAGGACACAGCAAATATATTTCAGTTCTTGACCACTGGGTTATAGTTACACATGCTTGTGTACAAAACAAAACATGGACAGCCTAGGAGTGGCCCCTGCTAGGCACCCTTCTGCTATAGGAATCTCAGTCTTTTGCCTAGCATCTAGGAACCTGAGCTCCCCATTGGGAACTTTAGGTCCCTTCTTTTGTGGAATTATGTTTCTTACATTTATCTAGCAAGTTGTTGGCTAGGCTGCAGGCTTAATAATATAGATCCTTGGAGTCGCCCCAGTCCAGCCAACATATACGTGTGGTGCCTGTTATGTGCAAATTTCGCTGCAACAGCCCTGTCCTGGATTTGGCCAGCCTGAGTTGTTACTCTAAGCGGGCACATATGCCTGGCCAATGTCTTATTTCTCTTACTGGTTAAAAGGGAACAAATGGAATCTTATTGCTCCTCTCGCATAGTTACTTCAGAGGAAAGCAATGTGATGATTTAGCAATATCAAGATTGTAACCTCTTTTCTTCATTGCTAGGCCTCTGAATCCTGGTGCAGCCTCCATCACCCACGGAACTCCAGCCTCCCGGTATAGCACTGCTGCTGATGCATTAGCTGCTTTAGTAGATGCTGCAGCTTCTGCTCCACAGATGGAAGTTTCCAAGCCAAAGGAAAACAAGCACGAGTCTGCACGATCAGAGGAAAACATAGCAAGACGTGCAGCACTGGAGCAACAGCAATTAGAGTCTGAGCGTAGACTGGTTCAAAGCCCATACACCTCCTCCAGCTTCTCTAGTAGCAAGTCACAGAGCCAACCATCTCCAGCTGTGTATTCTGAAGCGGGTAAAGATAAACCGACACATACTAAATCACGCTATGTGGAGGAATTAAAAGCCCATGGGAAGACCACAATCACTGCAGCCAACTTCATAGATGTCATCATAACACAGCAGATTGCTTCTGACAAAGATGCTCGAGAGCGCGGTTCACTAAGCTCCAATTCCTCCAGCAGCTGTAAGTGATATCTTAAAACATATATTTTTAGGTATCCTGTGTGAATGGGAAGACATAAACATACAGCAGGGGGGTTCTCAAATGTGACTGCAAAAGTGGAAGTACACATTAATTGTATTTTCTGTGAGTGTTTAATGGTACTATGATCTTTACATGCAAGTCATTTTTGATGAGCCATATTATCACGAGTGTATTTCATAGTTATGTGTGTACATTCACCATCTTATACATGTCTGCCTGTCAAGATAAAATATATTACAGGATAGACTTACCTAGAGGCCGATTTATCCCCTGGCAGTTATAGCAGACTGATGAACTTGGGCGAAGTGGAACAGTAAAAGGCAAAAACTGCACAGCACTACTAAGCAGCAAATACAACTTTTATATGTAGTGATCTGTCTTGTGTTTATATAGAATTACTAACGACTAGAAATAAAGATTTAATGTTTTCTTCCACATGTTGTCGGCTGTTTATCTAATGCATGTTCTCTTCATTCTGTAGTGTCTTCCCATCGCTATGAACCACCCAGGGACACTATTGAAGTTATCAGCCCAGCGAGCTCCCCAGTGCAAGCCCAGGAGAAGGAGAATTACCCACAGGAAGTTCCTAAACCAAGCCAGCCTGAAAGTAGGTCATCCACTATTTTATATATATATATATATATATTATTTTTTTAACATATTTTAATTCCTGTTTCAGATGACAGTAGCCGGCAATATGAAGTACAAACCAGTCGCTACAGGACACAACGAGAGTCTCCCTCCCCACAGCAACCTACCCCTACCCATGTACCACAGACCCACAGGCTCATTACACTAGCCGATCACATATGTGTGAGTATTGCCTGCAGTCAGCATATCTGATGCCTTTTATGTTGTTTTATAGGACAGTCACTTTTGTTCTGTAACTATATACAATAAAGACACAGTGTTGTTTTTCAACAGGACCTCTATCCATGGTACATAGGAGTTGTTTGTTTTGCTTATTATTGTGCCATTGCACGTCGGCATACTCCTCATGTCGTCCCATATTCACTGTTTTAAAGGAGAACTTGAGGCAACACATTAACCCTTTCCCTGCCACCGACGTAAGACATATGGCAGAACGCAACTGTTTCCAGCTGGCCAGCTCAGTATGCCTTGCATATAAGCTCATGGTCGCTTCAGCAGAAGGCTCCCCCTGACGGTCTCCTGTAAATGAGTAGCTCTAAAAGCAGCAGTTGAAAATGAATAGAAAAAAAGCAAAAAATTGCAGAAATGGTCTGGCCAGCTGAGGTTACAAGTGGAACGTGGGGCTTGGCAACGAAAGGGTTAAATGCATTTCATCATCACTCTTTTCTGAGCAGGCAGGTGAAGCGGGAAGCTGAAATGTAGACCAGCAAATTGTGAGGTTCTCTTCCTAGGCCTGCGGGATTAGTAGAGGTGTAGAAATCACTAGACTTAGCTGAACAGACATATTAATTATTTCTTGCCTGCAGTTCCTCTTCAGAAACTGTTTTCACCTAAACTGGCTACCACAGTGTTGCCAACTCTTACAGTCAGGAACGTGTTAAAGAATCCCAGCTATTAAGACTTGTTTAGCCACCTAAGCGCTGTGTGTGTGTAACTAGCATGTATGTTTGTTTCCTGCAGCATATTATCACACAAGACTTTGCCAGGAATCAGTCAGCTGCTCAAGGTTCTCAGCAGACACCCACATCAACATTCCAGAACACTGCCCCACCAGCAGCACCCGTCCGATCCAAACCATCCAACAGGTTCAGCCCAGACCCTCAGGCTCAGCCTCAACACCACCAGCGGCCAGCCTCCAGGGTGTCACCAGAAAACCTACCTGATAAACCTAGAGGAAGGTAATGATACCATTTCCACAAATCTCTACCTTCGCAGCAAGTAATCAATGAGATTATGTTTAGAAAAGACTTGCCCTGATCTGTAAATTGAAGTTCCTCTCAGTCAATGCTATAAATGTACAATATTAAAAGTAACCACTTGTGTTTTCTGTGTTTATATACAGGCCTGGAAAATCACCAGAAAGAGGGCACATGAGTGAGCCCTACGAACCTATATCACCCCCACAGGTTCCCATTGTACATTCAAAACAAGACAATATGATGTTACTGCCCCAGAGGCCGGAGCCTGCTGAGCAAAGGTAAACGCTCAATGTCACACTGTCCACCTAGTGCATCTTTATACACTGAGTGGCCAGTTTATTATGACCACCTGACGTTTGTAGGCAAATTAGCTATAATTTTGCTAGAGGACCAGACCATTATAAATAGGGAAGCAGGTTGTTTACCACGACAGTAGAAGTGATATATTTTCTGAAGATAGGGGGGTAAACAACGCGATTTAACAGCCTTTGAACGTGGGATGATTGTTGGCGCTCGGAGCCATGGAGCGAGTATCAGCAAAACAGCAGAATTCGTTAAATGTTCAAGAGCAGCTGTTGTTAAAGTGTTTAAAGACTGGACTGTCAGCCGAAAATCTGGGTCTGAACGTGCGAATTGTGGCCGTCAGGGACTAGTCAATGTTAGGGTTTCTGTGGGTGACATATAAGAGGTTTGAAACTCCCACAGATGTGATCTTCAAAGCTACCCAAATTAGCAGTGCAGCCAACTCATATGGGCAATGGTGCTCTCATTTGAGCAAGCTAGGACATTGCAAGCATCAAGTAGAAAACCCCAAACTAACTAAAGAACAGAACACACTAACAGATTCTGAGTCTTCTCTGTGGGTACATCAGTGAAACCTGGGCAAATCTTAGTTGCCGCATATATCCCTTTTTTTTGGAAATACCTAAAGTTAATGTGTAGTCCGATTTATAAAAGCATACCCATTTAACCCAGTTATGTATAAGTTTAAAAATCATTCAATGTTCATTAAATAGTGTCTCACTCTGTGCCTTTATTATTATCCTGCTATTCCCTGCACATCAAGGCTCAGACTGAAAGAGGAAGGGGCAGTCATCCTGTGCTGTACAAAAGGAGCAGACTAATTGGAGGGGGATCACAGGGTTGACCACATGAGTGTGCTGCTGCTCCTTTAGGCCCCGTTCACACTTAGCAATTTATCACGCGGTAATTCCCGCGATATCGCGGCAATTTACCGCGCGATATCGCTCTCCAATGCTTCTCAGTGGGGCAAAGGGTCCTGCTGTTGCGGGTCGTGCGTCGCTACAGCAGGGTTTTTGGAGCCGATTTAGCTGCGATTCAAGCTTGCTCAATGCAAGCATTTGCGCGACAAACGCGTGATTTGTGAATCGCGCGACAAACGCGTGATTTGCGAATCGCGCAGTGTGAATGGGGCCTTACAGTCCTGTCGCAGTCATAGTGCTTTACCTGTAGTAGAGAAAAGTGAAGTCCGAATCTGGCTCTACCTTCTGTTCTAAAACGGGCTGAAAAGAATGACACCTTTTTGCCAGGTTCACACGTATATATTTTAAAACAGATATGCGTGTAAAGCCCTTAACACCCATTCAGAAAAATGTTGCACATTGACTTTAGTGAAGCTGTTTGCTCGGAATGAAATGGCTCTCCTGTAAGGTTGCTGGACAGGAATGTAAGCTGTAGGTTTCTCTTCTTATAATCTTGTATATAATATATTTACATATTTGTCCCTGAATATTCTTTGTATTGTCTTTATAAATAAACCGTTTATCAAACATTGGTTGCTTTTTAAGTTTTGTAGGTTCACATCTTCACCTTTTTGTCTTCTTTTGTTTTTGTAAGATTGTCCATACTTTCCTGCAGGAATGATTCTCGATCACCTGGAAATATGAATTATCTCCCTTCCTTCTTCACCAAGTTGGAGAATACCTCCCCTATGGTGATGTTCAAGAAACAAGAGATTTTTCGTAAGTTAAACTCCTCTGGTGGCGGTGAATCTGATATGGGTAAGTGGGACTTGACTGACATTTTCTCCTTTCTGATCTAACATTAATTGTGGTGGCAGTAATTTGACAAACTGAAATGACTGTGTTAATGACAATGTTGACCAATAATTTAAATACAAAGTAATCCCGATCTGTCCTTAGAATCTGCCAGTAAAGGCTATTTCTCTTGTTTCTGGTGTTCAAGGAAGAGGAGGGGGCACAGCGGAGTCTGGAATGCATGAGTATCCTATTTGGGGCAGGATTCTAAGAACAGTGTTCTTCTCCTTTAGTCTTACCTAGTGTCTTGTAGGGGGAGGCTGTAGGTATTGGGTTATGTGATCTGATCCTAGCTGTAGTTGGATTTCCTTTTCCTTGAATCCAACACCTGCTACAGGTAAGGATATGAACAAAGACTGTAAATAACATGGTGTAAGACTTTGGAAGAACAGCACTGAGAGATATATGCATAACCTGACCAGCTTCAACTCTCTCCCTTCCTTCATTGAATGGTGTTTGTCATAAGGAAAGGGAATTGACTCTGAAGCAGCTTTCATTCTCCAAATAAGAATAACCATTCTCTTAATGGAACACCACAGGCAAGTTTTTGGCAGTGAAGCCAAGCATATTCAACTTTACTGTGAGTGACATCCATGTTGGGTATTAGTGTGGAGCCCAGCAGTCGGGGTGTCTGCTTCCACTGGTGGATGGAAGCTGTTTCTCACTTGGTTGTTGGATTCTAGATTCGTATCCTGCCACTTCTTGGCTAGTTGAGAGAAGGGAAAGGGAAATAATTCATGAAATGTTGGCCGAATGTCAGTATTGGCGGTACCAATGTAAATGTCTGCTAGGTGTCATGACCAATTGTTGACCAACATAAGCCTGCTAATATTCAATTTCTAACTCTAAAGGGTTTTACAAAAGAAGATGTAACCCAGTGTCGCCCCTTTTTTTCTTATAACCCACAAGCCATAGAGATAACCTTGTGTTTACTTTTGCTCAGCAGGCTGCCTGGCCATTCATATGCAGTAATATTCATAGAAGTCTATTCCATTAAATCCTCATCCTCATAGTTAGAGCCGGCCTGTGACAAAGAAGCTGTCACAAATCGGCTCTTATTGAGCGGGAAGTGAGCAGAAACATGCCGCTGATCCGCTCACTTCCTGATCGTCTCCCTGCAGTTAGCTGTGACTATCAGTCATTGCTCCCTGCAGAGATTTCCCCCTCCCCTCTCCGATCCACCAGCGCTGAGTGGACGAAAGGACGGGGAGGGGGCATACATAGCTTGCTATGGCTCTAGATGGGCAGAGCCAGCTGTCACTTACGCAGCTGGGTGAATCCAACAAGTATTGTCGGGATCCGTCCCGGCTTCAGCACTCTCAGTATATCCCATGCAATAGCCTGCGATATGCTGAGCTTTGGGTCACGGGAGGAGGTTAGTATACGTCCTCCGTGAACCCTAAAGAGAACTATGGGGAAAAACACTTACCCCTCTTTTAAGCTTCATCAGCCTAACAAGTAATATTTTAGATTGCATGACTGTGAAAGTAGTAGGGGCACTTTATGCTCATTATATGAAGGAGTCTGAATGAGGGGTTCTGTTTTTAATCGCATAGGAAATTCCTCATAAGTTGTGTTAGGACTGAGACATGAAAGGGCTGATTCTTTATGTAAATGTATTTATTAAAAGAATAAAGGTGAAATAGTGATGACTGGCAGATGTAGATATGGATGTAGATTCAGTTAACATTGTACTCCTTTTTTCATTCCCATTTGGGTTTTTTGTTTTGTAGTTTCTATTATAATGCTTGTTTCCAAAGCTTGGCCTGCTTTAATGGTAAAAACTGTCCTTTCCCTTTACTGGAACACATTTTTATGCCGTGCGTAACTTTTCAAAGCCTATATTCCTGTGTGAGCACAAGTAATGTTCAATGTTATCATTAATCAAGTCTGAATTTTTATATTGCAGCAGCTGCTCAGCCAGGAACAGAGATATTTAACTTGCCAGCCGTCACTACCTCGGGTAAGACCATTTCATTGTCATTCTGTGTTTCAGCTTGTAGAGCAAATTAATGAATAAGTGCACTTCTCCTTTTTCTGCTCTGCTCCCCCAGCACATTCAGCATAGCTTATTCTTATAAATATCACTGTTCTGATGTCTTCACTATATGATGTGCTATAGGGCTGTACCTGTGGATACGCATCATTCCCTTCAATGGAAAATGCATCTATGGGTACAGCTCTGAAGATTTCTCCTAGAAGCTGAACCTTCTGGTGGGACGTAGTAAGGGATGTGTGTGGAGTGTGGCGATCTTTTTGAAGTTTATTACCACACCTTTAGTTACATGTTGCTGTACACACAATAGATTTAATTTGTTCCTAGTTTAAACCATATCCAGTAAGGGACATTGCACTTTGGACTTTGTGTGCAGAATTGCATGTCCTGACATCTTGCAGACTTTAATGTAAGCCCCTCCGACTAATCGTACTCCTTGCCCTATATGAATATTCTAAATGACATTTGAATGTGGGGTGGTTTAGTCTGCATTATAAGCCATGCAATGGTGAGAGGGTACATTGATTTCATTAAGTATAAATAGGGCTTGTATATATGTGCTGTGTACCAAAGCTTCCATGACCTGTGAGACATTTTCCTGGTATTAGGATTCACAAAAGGAAACCAATCAAAATAAACAGAACCTGAACTCCAAATGGACTAATGCTGCAAGCCACGTTCATGTTTAATTCGCCACATCACATCCCGACCAGCATGTGTGATTTAGATGTTGAAAATAAATCGTTAAAATAAAACATTTGCTGAATAACTGCATACATAACCCTGGTATAATGCTTTAGGTCATTATGTCTTTAAAAAAAAAAGTCAAGGCAACTTGACTTATTTTTTACAAATATACCATGACCTGAATGAATGAGAACCTTCACAGACGTATTTAGGTCATTTAACGGTGTTCTTGCATATCGTGCTGGTATTATTTTTCCGAATTTACCTGACGTTCCTCTCATGTATGCAGGTTCCATCAGTTCCCGAGGTCATTCCTTTGCTGATCCTGCCAGTAATCTCGGTCTAGAGGATATTATCCGCAAAGCTTTAATGGGCAATTTTGATGACAAGTCAGAGGATCATGGTGTCCTGATGGGGGTAGCACAAGGCAGCACTTCAGGGTCTTCAAATGATCCTCGAAGAGAGGAAGCAAATCCCTCACCTAATTCAGGTTGGTACTAAAGATTCAAAAGAAGACTAAACAGCTCTTCTGTCACCTGACCTGTTATTGTACCCAACTGCTGAACAATAATGCAAAACCTACAAAGAAAAGTCGTTTTATAGACATATAAACATCTTATAATGTATAGATCTATAAATCTTAGTAGAGAAAAATCAGTAAGTTACAATGATTGAAAATATGAAAACAGGGTGCCTCTCTCACATTCAGCTTGACATGCCCTGTGGTTCTGTTTGGTTCTAACCAAAGTGAAGGCTCATGTTTTAGTTTAAAAAAAAAGTGCAAACCCTTCTGTACTCAGGGATGATTGATACTTGGATACTCATGCCAAGTTGAACAGCGATTAATGTGCGTACTTTGTTTTCTTTTTCATACTGTAATCTGATAAGTACAGCGTTAAACCTAGAGCACTATGTCATAGTGATAACATGATCGTGAGCGAGGCCGATTGGTTCCAGACTGTCAGTGATGACCCAAACTGTCAGACAGCTGGAACCAGCTGCTCTAATTGGTGGCTGTCAAGGGGGAGAACATTTAAATGTATCCTCAGTACAGGGCATGTTTTATATACAGATGGTGGGCGGGAAGAGGTCAAGTAATTCTTATTGTCCCTTGTTGGCCTTTATTCAAAGATTGTGACTTTACACACCCCCCAAAAACCAACAAGTGCTGATGCTCTAGTAGAATGTCCTTACAATTCCTGTATTAGTGTCAGGAGTGTATGGTTCCTGCCACCTGGACAACAACATGGGGCAGAAGACTGTTACAAGTAGAAAACCTCTCTCTCTCTCTCTCTGAGAGAGAGAGAGAGAGAGAGAGATTAATCGACATGGTGTTCCAGCAGCCTACTGGTGGATATTGTTACTCTGTTCTGTAAAAGTTTGTTTCATAGTTGAAGTGTATTTCAATGTTTTGTATCTCTCTTTTTTAGGGTCCTCTCAGTTCCCGTTCAACCCGTTGACTATGGGGATGCTAAATAGCACTCCTCCATCTTCTATGGCCTCCACCATAACACAGAATTCTGCCCACCAACAGAGCAGGATATGGGAGCGCGAGCCGGCACCACTTCTCTCATCACAGTATGAAACCCTATCAGACAGCGATGACTAATTCACTTTGGACTAATAATGTGTACGACTAAGGGTTCCAACATTCATGTCTATATTCACAGCCTGAAAGACTTTGTCTGACGAGAGCCACAGGCTGAGGAGCACGGGGCCACCTTCCTACACAGGGATTCATAGAGCCGTGTAAAATATTTTAAATGCATATCGGCCTGTCGCGCCCAGGCCAATAGCAGAATGTAATTAGTAAAGATTTAAAGGTCCACATTAATATGTAAAGAAGTTTTAAAGGAAAAGTGGATAATTGGATGCCTATCAATTCACAGCTATTTGTAAAGAAAAACAAAATGTCTTTAAATCTCTTCTGTAAATATTTGCAGTGGTTTATTATTTCTTTTTCTTTGCTCTAGTATGGTGTATGTATGTTTAAATCAATACTTCCCCCTAAGAGGATCTTTTCGTTTTTAATTTTTTTTAAAGTTTTCATTTTATTTTTCCTGGATTTGCTTTCTAGATGGCAGACAGCCAACCCAAATGACATTTTTTGCCCCGCACCTTATAATAACTGCCCATTTCAGATTTGAAGACCGTCTAGCAGATCTTTCCTAGAGAGCAGAAGAGACTCCTTGGTTTTTTTTTAATAGTCGTTAGAGTGAGATGATGGCACCACGTTTGGAGCCATTGGAAAGTTTCCAGCTTTGTATTTTTAACTGATGGCAAAATGCATCTGATAAGTCAGTCTAGTGCTCAAACCGCTGAGGTGGTCTCCTCAATGTCTAAAAAAAGAAAATGCTAAAAAAAACACATTTTTAATAATTCTTTAATCAGACCTACCACATGGAAGAAGCTTTTGTGCACTAGCAATGACAATTGCAAAATCATGTCTGTGAATTTTAGGTTCCGGTTTTTATCCTTTGTAGGAATATATTCTCCAGGGAAAACAATAGGTGTATGTGTATAGGCACGATTGTCGCCAATCTCAAAACTGGTTGATACATCAGATGCTTTTTTTTTTCCCCCTCACAGCGTTCATTTAATTCTATACATGGATTGTAATAAAATGTTTTACGCGCAAAACAAGATGTCTGTCCGTTATTTACATGACTTTGAAAATTGTGTTAACGCATTAAAAGACAAACCTTTCAAGTCCTGGGCCTGGAAGCACTGCAAGCACCCGAGTAGCAGTCTTAGCCTTGTATGACCCCCCCCCCCGAATTGTGCTTTAGGCCATCTGAGAGCTTCTATAGCATTTACAGCTGCATGGTACGGCGTGCCCACCAGAGGGACCAATAAAAGGTATGCTGTTCTAAAAGGGAAACTAATGTTTTAGGTGTATATTGTAGAAGTGTATTCCTATACTTAAAAAAAAAAAATAACTCCTAAGTGTAACTTGGAGATTCTATCTCCTCTGTCTGGTCAAAGAGTTGGTATCTGAACAGGAAGTGAAGGTTCTCACCCTTCCCAACTCTAAAACAAAACAAAAAAGTTGACTGAAAATCCGCATTAAAGTAAAATTCTTATTGGCACCTGTTCATGTTCTCAAAATCTTGTTTTTATGTATAGTGTGTCATTTTATATGTGCATGGGGCATCCATGTTTGTAGCGCCACACTGGTTCTTCTTTACCATTCACCTCTGTCAACTGATAAAAGGGAGCTTGTCCAGAAACACTGCCGCTGTGTCAGTTAACCCCTTCCTCACAAAGGAGGGTTTTTTCTTATGGCTGGCTAGACTCAACAGCCCATAACTATATGTGGAACAGAAAAAAGAAACTTGACACTGATTCTCGAAAGAAAGAATCAGGTCACAGCGGTTATAGAGGGTCGGAGTAGCCAATTAAATATAATATAAACGCTATTAAATAATTGCTCATATGTAAATCACGTAAACACCAAGACCACCAACTAAGATCTAAAACAATTGTGTAGACAACGTTGTCTCACTCACAAACATCATTCGGGCAGGCTGATGGAGTTTAGCTAATCAATTGCCGGTGGAGCTCACCAAGTGCTAAAGTTTTTACACTCTGGCCACCATTACATAGGATATGAATACCGTACATTATAGTGCACAGCAGGTAGAGTGTCAAGTCCAAATATAAGGCAACTGCACCAAAACTCAACTAGCAGACATCCAGTGTATCCTCCTCCTCTTTTGTCATGTCACTGGATTACCAAACCCAGGAATTCTTCTGCTTGGAGTTTTCCCTAGGTCGGTAGGCTGGTGATGGGGAGAGAAGTAACACAAAGCTACTAATCAGAGCTCACTTCATCAGTTTCGAGCAGTGAGAAGGATAAAACATGGCCACCGATTAGTTGCTGTCGATTAAAGCACATGGGCTATATGTCTTTGAATGCAGTCTGGGTTTGGTTAGGAAGAGGGTAATCCCTACCCTGCTCCTGGACATTTGTGTATAGTTGATAAGTTTGAAAATGATTTGCATCTTTCTGTGCTTCAGGGGATCAAGTATTGGTCTCACCTCTATAGAGAACACCTCCTTCCCCACTATACAGCCATGTGTGCAATCAGATGAGACAGCAGTGACAAGTATACTTCTCAATTCACAATACTAGTCAAATACTTGCACACATAAATATATACACAGCGTGTATGTGGAGGTGTGTAACCCATAGCAACTAATTGTAGATATTTTTTTTTTTCGTTTAGAATAATTAAATATAACTGCTGGATGTATAGTTTTTCTCCCCCAGGTCAGCTACATTGTGATGCCTGCCCTGCAACACATGCATACAGAAACCAATATACATACTGTATGTAAAAATGTGATAAAATGCACGTGTTCTTTATTCTGAATGTAATTCTAGCAAGTACGTGTATACTTCCTCAATTAACAAATAAAATGTAAGTGTGGTGAAAGAAAATGAAATCTATTGAGGTAAGGCACAACTGAATATTATAATTAAAGTAACATAAGGCATCTTCTCCACCTTGCAGTTCCTGTTTTGATTTTGGATTGGCAGTTGTAGATCATTCTCCTCTTCACACAAAATGCTCCCAAAATATTACAGTAGCCGTAAACTCCATTTGAAGCAACATTACTCTCTTAGCTGCTTTTCTTTCTTCTCTATAGAAACAAAACAAATAACTTTTTTTTAAAGATACTTTTAGACTCTTCACAATGCATGCTTGGCAGGCCCCGAAATGACAGGTCTTTGTACGTGCTCTGAGCTGAATAGCACATGTGGAAATTTAGGGATTGGATGTTTGGGCTGTCGCTACCAATGGTTTGGTGGGGTTGGGGTGTTTGCAGTATGCCTATTCAACCCTGAACACATTTGGGTTTTGGCTGTTTACTGTTTCTCTTGGTCGATGGAAAGCTGCGTCAGCAACACTGGCACTGAATGTTTTTTTTTTTCTTTTCCTGCAGTGCTTATAAAGTGTTTACCTTTTAACATCCAGGTTTTTCTTTCAGAAAGAATGACGTCTAGAGCTGCAGCTAACGATTTGTTTCAAAATCGATTAGTTAGCCGAATATTAAGTTCGATTAATCGGATATAAAATACATTTTTTTAAATGGCTCCAGTGATGGACTACTAGTTTGTATTGAGATTGCAGTCCAGCACAGGAGCAAGCTTGGAGCGGTGGAAGAAAAAAAAAGTGTGGTGTGCAATATAGTGAAATGAAAAGTGCAAAATTATACAGCAATCAATGAAGAATGGCATCTGCTATAGAGGACTCCAAAACCCCCAGTCTATGAGAAAAGGAACAAAAGAGAGCGCCTCCATAGTGTAAAAATGTTATTTAATAGTAAAAACACGCAGCTCTAAGGCTGTACTTACAACAGTTCGGTAGAATAAAAACCAGTAGAATAGGGTGAGAGGACGGAACCCCTGGCAGTGAGAATCTGGAGCGATGTAAAACACCAGTAACCTCGATCCCTGTATTGATAAATGGTTTAAGTGTTTCTGGGGCAGCCCCCTTCATCAGAACAAATCTGGCATTGGTTCTGATGAAGGGGGCGTGCCCCAGAAAGATTTGCTATGGGAACATTTAGAGAAGTTAATTGTACACTGAAAAATGTACGTTTTGTCTGGAATTCCTCCTGGTAAATATCCGTGCACTTTCTGGTATGTTAGTGTGCCTCTTATTTCTATATCCTCTGTGTGAGATCCAAGCTACACCTAGACAGTGCAAAATAAGGCATGTTAACGCAGCACTGGGGGAAGATCAGTTGCAGAGAGACCACTGGCAATACTGGTGACGGTCTTTTTTTTTTTTTTTCGGAACTACCACACGG